CGGTTGCGGAACACTGTTCTGAGGTAAAAGAACCGTACTGAAGTACTATGGCAAATAATAAAGAAGAAATCAGGAAATTGTTACAAAGCTAATAATACTATTTCTTTAGAAATAGGCTCTATGTCAGTTACAATTTCCCAGCATATATATTATCAATTTAATGATTTTTGTCGATGTGGATAAGTTGATAAATCTAAAAAAGATTGTAATTATGATCATGTCTCTGTCAACAACATAATACATAATCCAAATTCATTGTTTCTTCTACCAGTTACTGAAGAAGAGGTTCAAAAGTCACTAGTAAACTAAAAGGGAAATTTTCTATGGTCTATGATGAGATGCCGGAAATTATAGTTAAACAATGTATACAGTTTATTAAAAGCCCTTAACTTTTATATTAATTTGTCATTAAGTTCTGGTACCTTTGACCATTGAAGGTCGCAGTGCTAGGGCCAGTTTTATGGCTCACGGCTCATACATACTCTGGTACCTTTCCAAACCTAATGAAGATCACTAAAGTTCGGCATATTTTTTAAAAATGACGGGAACAAGAAATTTCTAACTATAGACCAATTTCAATCCTACCCATATTTTCTCAAATTCTTGAAACGATAATGTATAAGAGGGTTGTGATTTTTTTAAATAAATTGAACTTGATCTCGGATGCTCAAAATGGCTTCAGAAAGAATAAATCTACTTTTATTGCAATCCAAATTTTTATCAATGAAATTCAGAAAGCTTTAGATAATAAGCGATTTGCCTTGGGCATATTTTTAGATCTATCAAAGGCTTTTGATGATATCTACTGCTTGCAAATCTGGAGCTATATGGGCTGAGGGATAATTCATGCGTGGATGAGTTCATATCTCTCTGACAAAACTCAGTTTGTTGAAATTCAACATGTGGATCAAAAGACCTCTAACTTAAAGACATTTACTTCTTCACTCAAGGCGTACTTCAAGGTTCTGTTTTGGGACCCCTATTATTTTTATTGTTCATAAATGATTTGCCCCTAGCTATTCATGATGCTAACGTTGATGATACAAATATACGACTTTTTTATTATTATTGCTAGTGGGGTGGGCCTAAGTCCCTTGTACTGCAGCCACTTCTGGCCTATTGTACCAGCGCCAGATGATGTGATTGTGGAGCAATTTGTGAATGAAGATTGGCAGGGGAAATCGAATTACTCGAAGAAAACCTGCCCCAGCGCCAATTTGTCCACCACAAATCCCACTTAACCAGACCCGGGATCGAATGCGGCCCCGCCGCGGTGGGAAGCCAGCGACTAACCGCTTGAGCTATGGCGCGGCCCACTATACTACTTACAGACAATAATCTCTAATCATTAAATGAAAAAATCCTAAATGTTAGGAATCAATTAGAAAACTGGTTCCAAGAAAATCAACTCATTATAAAAACACGGATAAAGACTAAAGTATTATTCTTTCAGGGAAGATCAACTCCAATCCATAAACCTGTTTTTTGCTTAAATAATAAGGAAATAATTTATTCATCAAATGTAAAATTTTTGGGTTTTTATATTACTGAAAATCTAAGCTGGGCAACTCACACTCAATACATATACCAAAAGTTCAACAAGGCTCTTTATTTGATTAAATCCTTACGTGACTCAGCCTATCTGTATTAAGAAATATCTATTTTACTAAGTTTGAATCTGTATTGAAATATGGTATTATTCTTTGGGGGTGGGGTGCTTAAGGTCTCCGAAACTGTATTTAAAATACAGAAAAAATGTCTAAAAGTGACTAATGTGTTTATAATAGAGTATCCTTTAGAAATATATTTGGTGAGTTTAAGATTTTAACTGACTAAATTTCACCATGTCAGTGAAAGTTACGCGTGTACAGTCATTAAGTTCGTGGACTGTGGTTTTATCGCACCATATTACAATGTATTCATATACACTTACACAGATCCACATCAGCCCTCAAAATAATTGCCGTTGGCCGCTGTGCAAGTCTGCGAACATTGATATATCTACCGAAGACTTTGCTGAAACATATTTGCAGGAACATCCCGTATGGCGTCTCTTGTGGCACTGACGACCTTCTCTGCTGACTGAAATTTACGACCACGTAACTTTGCTCTGAAGCGGTGAAAGAGAAAGAAATCGCATGGTGCGAGATCAGGTGAGTACGGAGGGTGTGGCAAAACGATGAGCTGTTGCCTTGTCAGTTCCTCTTGGACAAGAACAGAGCGATGTGCAGAGATGTTGTCATGTTGCAGCAGTCAATTCTTCCTACGCCAAATGTTTCGCTAGGGGATTTGCCTACTTTTGTGCAGAACTTGATGTTTGCCTGCTGTTCAAACTGCCACATTTTCGATTTCTGCCACTTGCATTTGACTGCAGTTCATAATAGAGGGCATAGTTCTTCTTACACTGTTTGCACACAACTTCCTCTTTTTGTAACGAGAGATGCACTGTCAGATCATTATATCGTGCCTCAACTTATCGGCTATAATTCACTGCTATGAAGCGTTGTGGCCAGTCCACGAACTTATTGACTATGGTAGTAATTCAAATGCTGTGTTTAACTTTAAACTTACCGCCATCTTTGAGCCGATTGTCAAGGTAATGAGGGACTCTTAACGTCTCACAGTCCAATGGGCCTTCACGGCCTGTTACAGGGATAGCTTTACTTTTTTACTTTACTTACTTTTTGAACTTCATCATTGTATTGTGTTATTGCAGCATGCAGTTTACTGACCTAATTTTTATCGGTGTTAGGTTGCAGACATGCCATCTCCTGATGTAAAACCAGCATTGTTTGGTGTTCTTCATGCTGCTTTACTGCACAAGTGGCAGTACTTTTACCGAACATCAGTATTGCACACATTATCCGAACCAGGAGTGGAAGGAATTGAAAATTGTGAACGGTTTGTGGCCATCCTGCGGGCATATGGCCAGCCATTGTTACAGCCTGATATCAATTTATTTGGGCAAAACCTGCATACTTTAGAAGAGGCTTAACTCCAAATGGAAGCTCTACCACAAGGTAATATCATCATGAAGGGGACATGTTCCTCTAAAATGTTGGTTAATTTTTAATGGGATACACAACATCGTATCCAAGAAGACAGGAATCTGCATAACCACCACTGTGAGATCCTAAAGTGCAAAAAGCTTGGAATTCAAAACTGCACTTAAAAGAAAGTCCATGCTCATTGGATTTGATCCTCTCACAGCAGCGACTTGACAGCCTTGCATTATGTAATGTGATGTAATTCAGTGAATTTCTTCAAGACTATACGCTTCTACCTCCCAGAAGACAGTAATGTACACAATTACTGCTGTGAGAACCTGAAGAATGAAATTCTACTGGACTACTCAGCTTCACATCCTAGAACAGTGTTCCGCAACCAGTGTGCCGTCACAAGGTGAAAGGTGTGTTGTGTTGTTTACATTCCCTACAGAACGGACAATATGTTGTAAGACCAAATAATTAACATTAATATTACTACATCTACATCACGAGCCTCCAATACATTTTTATATACTCACAAAATATAGAATACTCCAATTTGGCCGTGGGAACGCAACAAAATTACAAAAACCAACGACCGGCTCTATGAAGTAAAAATCAATCGAAGAAATTTATTCTTGTTTTATACTATAACTTTTGTTTTATATAATCTAATTTATTGTATTTTTACGTCAAGTATTTTATATAATTAATAATACTGTATTCAATTTTACTAGTACTGCGGTTCAGTGGTGTATATATGTTAACAATGTATTTGCCTGATGATGGCTATTAATAGCTGAAACATGTAGCAGAGCCAAAACTAGGCACTGGTCTTGATATTAGTTGTGTTGTGACGGTTGTAATAAAGATGATGTATATCATAACACAACAGGATGCATTAAATGAACAAATTAATGTAAACAGTTTATATACTGAGAAGAAAGCAGTCTTCTGAGATGTGGCACCGTGTAGATGTGGTTAACCGACGTTTCGGAGGAACGTATCGCCTCCATCTTCAGGGTAGAAGGAAAAATAAGAAATCCGCAAGCGAAGAGAC